AAAAGTTCTGGAAAAAAAAAAAAAGTACTACTAGGATTTTGACCAGCTGCTGGGCACCAATATATTGAGGAATACGGAAAGACTGATCACGTGGGGCAGTCTAATGAGCATTTCTGAAATGGCAGATACCACAGAACAAAGTCTTCTTCCTTCTCTATCCCCACCCCACCCTGTTATTTTGAAGAAGAAAAAACAGAAGGCAGCAGTGTGTGTGTGAATGATCAGGCATGTACTGTATTACACAGAATTTACTGAACAGTGAAGTAGTTACTAAATTTTACTGAGTTTACTAAGTTACTAGTTACTAAGGTTCTTGATAAATGACTATCAGACTTTGAAAACCTGGTATCACTGGATCATGTTCAATAATTTTGTTGAATTAACGTTAACTTTAAAGCTTTTTAAATTGAATTTTGAATAAATGTGCAATTAATTGTTACAGTTTTGAATTTTACTGTTACTCTCTTCCTTTCATTGTGCAAACTGCCCAGTCACATGACCGCCCACTAAGCCACGCCCACAGAACCGGTAGTAAAAAAAATTGAATTCCACCACTGGATGTGGGGCACTGAGGATCAGTTTATAGCACCAAGGGGGCGGTGGACTGAAAACGTTTGGGAACCACTGCTTTAAAGTCTCTGGAGAAAGACAAATTGTGACATTGCCTACATTGTGCTCCACTTGGAGACTACGAAATCTCCAGACGGTGGCAGAACTGGAATAAGGGAATTTGCCATTCTTGCTGCAACCACCACAGTCAGAGCCTTTGAAAGACACTAAGTTCACACTTCCTTTGCTAACCATCTTTGGAATTTGCCTATTAATTGCTTTAAAGAAATTAAATACCCTCAAAATGTCAAGGTGAGTGTCTTAATAGAATAAAATAAAATTGTATCTTTATAAACTTTAAAAATTCATAATAATCAGCAAAAAGCAAGACATTGGTTGTAGAAAGTATTACATGGATTAAGGATTCAGAAAACATTAGAATATTGGATTTTGAATATTAAACTTTGAAATTACTAAATGCATTTTTGTGGGAAGGAGAAATTATTTCTGATAAATTGGAGACATAAGATAAACAATTTATAATAATATTCAGAAATATTGTTGAAGATTGGCAGCGCCCCTTGAATCAACAATGTCAGCTATGTTGAGTGTTTTATGAACACAATTTCCGGAAGAAATTGTTACACTAGAAGATGCTGTTATAGTAAAAGATTTTGAACAAAACTTATCTGATTTGATTATGGAGAATAAAAATTTATCTCGGTGTACAAAAAATATTTTAAAGCTCTAAGATTTAAGAAGGACATACAATGCCAATTCAAGATTGTTATTAGAATAATTTAGAAAAGAGACTTCTTAAAGTTTTGAAGAAATTTGAGATGGGATAACGATAATTCAAATAGACTGAAGAGGAAGGATGATTTATGTAAAAGGGAGGAATATAAAGTTGGTTTATTTGATCAGCGTTATAATGTTGTAATTGTGGGGAGTTCATTCTGGATTTCCTGACATCTGTACTGGAAAAGATGTGTCATTGATTTGCTTATAGTTAAGAGTTGAGATATGAAGTGAGTGTTGACAAATACAATTATTCTAGAACTCTTGAACTTTTGCTTTTACCTTAAATGCAAAATATGTTGTTTATTGGACTTGCCTATACAGGTAGTCCTTGACTTATGACCAATCAGTTAGCTACTGTACGAAGTTAAGATGGGAGTCTCTAGGGTTATTTATGACCCAGATTTAAAGCTCTAATATCTGCATTCATCACTCTTGTGGTCATTTAGTCACAGTTTGGGCGCATAGCAGCTGACCCATATTTATGAATGTTTGCAACATCCTGCAGTCATGTGACTGCAATTTACAATGGGTTTTGTTGGAAACCAGCATTTACTTGTACAAAAAATGCACATTGTGGAAAATGGATTCGCTTATCAACTACAGCATTTACTTTATGACTTACCACATTTGTTTAATGACTGCTACAAAATGGTTGTAAAATCAGGCTTAACAACCAGCAGGCCTTATAACTATAATTCTGGGCTGATTTATGGTCATATTGACTTATGG